CATATATTTACACATATATTTACACATATATTTACACATATATTTACACATATATTTACACATATACGTATAAAGGTGTATTTCCCTAAGTGTACTTTTATTGACCATGTACATTGATATAAGTATACTAGCAGTTTACTAACAAGTATACTTCTAGGTAGGATTAATTGGCCCACAATTAGTTTATGAAAGTATACTGAAAGTACTCTTCTAAGTATACTTTTAGTTTAATCATGAAATTTACTATGAATGAACCAGTCTGTGTGAAAATGTACTTTCAGTGTACTACTAAAGTTTATGTTGGCCAAAAGTTTAAACATTAGTATAGACTAAATATACTTGAACTTTTAGTATATTTTTAGTACAAGCCTAGTGAAGTGTAAGATAAACTTGGTTGAGTACAGTATATCCCAGATAAGTACATAAAAAGTAAACAGGAAGTACGTATACATTTTTATTTTTAGTTTAAATTTAGTATACTTAATGGATACTTGCATATACTTCTTTTTACTAGGGGTTGATGAACCTCTGAGTCTTCACAATTCAAGATGGCCGCCACAGCTTCAACTCTTGGTAGGCTACGATCAATTACTCTAAAACTTGGAGTGGTAGTAGCTGAGAGTCATCCCCAACGCGCAATCTGAGTTCCGACAGGATGAAAACTTTAAATTTTTTTAGAAATGGGGACGAATTAAAAAAAAAACTCTCAGGAAGTCAACAACTCGATGACTTCCTGAGTCTGCATGATTCAAAATGGCCATCAGAGCCGTCGATATCTTGTCGGCCATTTTTACAGATATTAGGTTGAAACGTGATGATGAGTCTTTCCTAGAGAGTTCCACAAACCTCTGGATTTCTTTCATATGGTTCAGTTTTCATCTGGTTCATGAGATATTTTGCTAACAGAGACAAATACGAGGCTTTTAATGGTTGAGTCAAACTGACCAAAGATTCTCTGAAGACTGAAGGAAAGTCTTTTAACTGATACATTAATTTGTATCATTAAACTGTTTAAATTTTAAAATAACTGCAAATATTTAATATTTTAAAACATCAATAAAAAACGGAACTAATAAAAATTTACAGGAAAACAGGTTGAACTCTTCAAACAAAGATGTTTTTGTGTGGAAAATGTAGTTTTATGAACAAATAAGCTTTAAGTTTTACGTTTTTCAGAAGAAAATTAAATTCAGATTCTTGATGTTTCAGATTTTGTGCGTTCTGACTGAAAACAGGAAAACAACAAGGTGTTTCCCTGCTGCCGCCGTCAGCCGTCACTTTGGCAGACGGACAGAAACGACATTTAAAAAGAATAAATCAAAACGCTGCGTTCGAGGCAGAGGAGCTGAAACGAGCTCCGGTGGAAGAAAAGGTCAACAGCTCTGAGATACGAGCCGAAAATATTAATTACAGAACTTCAAACAGCCGACGCGCCGTCCAATCAGCTGCTGAAAACACTGACGCCGAGCAGCGAGGGTTCAACCTGACCTGAGATTTTACAGGAAACCTTAAACTTTTATTTTGAAGGGCTGGACGGAGGTACAGTTTTCTGATAGACGAATTAAAACGTGGCTGATTAATGCACACAGCTGACGAGCTRAAGGCTGGTCGGAACAAGGTGGATCTCTGCCATTCAAAACAACTCCTCGTAAAAAAGTTTCAGGGGAACGTTAATTTTCTGCAGGATGTTCTCCATGTTTAACTGGAAGTGCTACAGCTAGCTGCTACTACCAACTGCACTTATAAATAACCATCACATTTTACACAAAAATTGTGAAGTTATTAACTATCTGTGTGGATCTAGACAGTTAAATTTATGGTCGGATTAGCTCAACTGTTGATCCAAAACGAGGTTGTTTCGAAACCCATCTGCAGCAGGTAAGATATTTACTGCTCCAAGCCTGTCCTCTGTCCCTCTTTTCATAAGGTCTGAACTGTTTGTTTGATTTAAAAGAATAAAATCCTCGCAGCTCCATCTTGAGCCTCCTCACCAGTTAAAGAGCAGAGAGAAACCCAACATGTTGGAGCTAAAAACAGCCTCTCAGAACCAAACGGATCAGAGGATCGGTGTGAACCCACTCCAGAACCGGTTAGAGCTCAGATTACGTAACTCCAGTGGGTTTAAAGTGGTTTAAAAGTTGTAAAAACCCACAGAGGCTGAAGTGTCTGCAGCAGCTGCTGTTTCATAACCAACTGTTCGGGTCCAGCAGGAATACTGGGTCACAGCAGAACACCGGAGCCGCCGCTCAGAACCGGCTCAGCCAATCAGAACCCCCGCGCGTGCTGCAGAACCCGCAGGTACTCACACGAAGGCGTGGTAGAGCAGCGCCCATCCTCTCGGCCTYTCCAGGGCGTCGTAGATCAGGTTCTGGATCCTCCTCCTGCGGATCGCGCTCCTCTTCACGGGCCGGGTGTAGCTCAGGGGGGTCTTGGCCAGCAGCCCGATACCGATGCCCTGAGTGCCCCGGACCGGACCCACCAGCAGCAGCGCGCCATCCTTCTCCGCGCCGCCGCCTTGGTCCAATAAATCCCCGGGAGGAGGAGGAGCGCCGGGGGGCTTCTTCTGCTCCTCCGAGCCGCTAGCGACGGTCCTGGACCGGAGCCCCATGGTCAGCGCTGAGGGCCCGGCGGGGGCCGCATGCCATGGTCCGCGGGCTGGATCCGGAGACACCCAGTGGTCAGCAGAGGGTCATCAGGGCTGCGGTCCCCGGCGCGAAGGGAGGGAGGTGCTCTGTGATCTGAGGGGGGTACAGACATATTTACTCAAAAATAAAAACAAATAAATAAATAAAAACATCGTCTGAGCTGCAGGAACCAGGCGCGAGCTGTGCGTAAAAACACGCCCCGACCGGGACAGGCACCACCACCAAGTCTCAGGTCCACATCAGGTTTTAGACCCGAACCCTGCGAGACCACCTCAAAGTCTGAGAACTCACTGCTGTGATCCACGACCGGGCTTTAGAGCCGAACCGGACCCGAATCAGGTGGATCCTGGTGTTTATTTTACGTGTCAGAAAAAAAAACTGATCTGCTTCAGATCACACACCGAACCGAGCCGAGCCGAACCGAACCGAGCCCCCCTTACCAGCATCGGCTCCCGAGCATCATGGTGCGAGACCCCGGGGCTTCCAGCCTCCATCCACCTGCAGAGGAAGCGGCGCGAGGAGGAAGAGGAGGAGGTCGATCCTGAAACTGAAGAGGAGCAGCTCTCATCAGCACCAGCGCGGAGACGCGACGTGCGCGCACACGGCGGCGGCACGCGCACACCTTTATGGATGAGAGAAGCTAAAGAAGCACTAACCACTCATCATACGTGCCTTTTTTATGGTTCATTCTTTGGGCGGGGTTAATTGGCTCTCAGCTGGGGGTGGGAGGGAGAGAAAAAAGAAAAACACGCGCGTGTAAGAAGGTGCGCTCATGACAACTTTGTATGTATCGTCACGTAGACGCGCACGCGCAGTGTGATGTAAACATCTTTCTTTCTGACAGACTGAGGTGGCTTCAGTCCTGAAGACCATCCTGGACCTGACAGTCCTGGACCCGACAGTCCTGGACCTGACAGTCCTGGACCCGACAGTCCTGGACCCGACAGTCCTGGACCCGACAGTCCTGGACCCGACAGTCCTGGACCTGAAACTGATCTCTGGTTAAACATCGATTCAAGATGGCCGCCACAGCTAAACTGAGCTGAAGTTTGGTTTGATAGTAGCCGAGAGTCAACCCCAACACAGAGCATTAAAATAATCTCACATGTAACACGTGTCAAACTGAAGGCCCGTGGGCCAAACTGGGCCCTCCACTGCATTTTATGTGGCTCATGAGAGCTAAGTGGCTTAAAGCAGGAGTGAGTATAAACTACATCTCCCATRATGCACGTTGATTATTTTACCCACGAAATGACGGCAGCCCACCAYGAGGTGGAGGGTGGGGGTTCAAAAGCCGTGGTTGGCACAGCTAACCAAMAAGTTAGATTCACAAACCGCCTGTTCCAGTGCTTCAAAATGTGCATAAAAAACTGTGGRAACACGTTTTAAGCCCACTGTTTAAAAGTAGCAGGCAAACTTTGCCGTGTAAAATCTAAATTTTGCTGCAGTTTACTGGGAAGTGGGAATTTCCCACTTACWTGTAAATTTAAACTGGAACRCCTCTCCAGTGGGAAGTCCCAGTGGGAAAGTTCAGAAATGAAGACAGCCACTACTCACCACAACTCAACAGTGAGTAAAACTCTTACTTTTAACAATATTTCAGTTTAATTTACGTCATTTCATCAGTCATACACGTAGTGCTTTTCAGTGTTTATAAGGTGACGTGTTAAAACGCTATTTCTATGTAGGAAATACCAGGTAGAACTCAGTGTTCGTTACCGGGTCTCAGGAACATGTTTCTTGCTCGTTAAAAACCTCTGTGAAAGAGTTTAACACTCCTGGTTTAAAACTTCACACAGGATGGTGGGTGACAAGCATTCTTTCATTCTTTGTCTTTTGTTTTCAGCCACTTTCATGTAACGTTTTAACTTTGTGTCCAACCCCAGCGATGGAGACGTTCCCTTAGTCACCGCAGGATTAACCCAGAGAAACAACAGTGATCCTAAAATAGATCGATCAGATGTCTTCTTGGCCTTTAGTATTTCTACTTAAACCCAGGCGGTCGGTGGATTTGACTAATTATCTGGATGAAAAACAGCCGAGCAAGTCTGTAATTGAAAAAGCAATAATTTGACTGCGGCTGTCTGCTGCTGCTCTACCGGACCCGTCCGGTGAGTCAGCTCCGAGTCGTGGACAGATGGGAGTCTGAGCAGTTTTCTTTCTTACAGAGTCTCATAAAAATCAATCCTCCTGCTGACGTTTCTTTCTTTTTTTAAGATGGTACTGCAGTAAATCTTTTACAGCAGCTCTGATCTGTGTTAAAAACTGTCCTTGAAGCTTTTTGTGACCCTTTTCTGTAAAAAACAAGATGAGATTAGAATTTAATCACAAGTTCAAACACCGAGCAGATTCCTGTTTCTTCTGACAAACAGTGAAGTGYTTAGTCCAGACCAGATTGATCAAACACTTTCTGTGAATCAATATGTGAGATCAAACTGATTGGTGATGTTCTGATCAATACTTGTGTTTATGTGAAAGAGCAGATTCATCATGTGTTATTTTATGAACTTAAGACAACATTCACATTGGTCTTAGCCTTGCCAAAACTTTCGTATGAGTTTCATTGCTGTGACAAATCGTAAAAGGGAAGAAAAATTACTATACCTAAACCCAACCAAGTTGTGTGTTATACCTAAACCCAACCAAGTGGTTTGGCATTCCTAAACCCAACCAGGTGGTTTGGTATTCCTAAACCCAATCAAGTGGCGTGTTATACCTATACCCAACCAAGTGGCAGGTTATACCTATACCCAACCAAGTGGCAGGTTATACCTATACCCACCCAAGTGGTTTTGTATACCTAAACCCACCCAAGTGGTTTGGTATACCTAAACCCAACCAAGTGGCAGGTTATACCTATACCCACCCAAGTGGTTTTGTATTCCTAAACCCAACCAAGTGGTTTGGTATACCTATACCCACCCAAGTGGTTTGGTATTCCTAAACCCAACCTGAACCTAATTTATGAAGGTTTCACAAACAACTGATTTCCTGGGAAGTGTGTCCAGTTTGAAACAACTTACCTTTAAGCCAAAGAAAAGGTCAGATATGACATTTGATAGTCAGCAATTTMTTTTTATTCCTGTTTGAGGTAAATTCAGGATCTCTGCCTCATGAACCTACAAACTGGTTTGACTCCAGGTCTTTTTAAGTGTTTCCTGTTTACTCAGACACTCTGCAATCTTTGCTCTGCAGGCGCGGGGTCTTTGTCAAAGATCCAGCTGGTGAATAATTGAAGACGTTACAGGGCTGCGTTATATCTGCATGATGTGGCCGACTCTTCAGCAGCGCCGCATGTTTTATTCATCCTCTTCATCCAACTTTTACAACACAAGGTTACGACGCACAAAAGCAGCACATGTGGGAACGACTCAATTTACTTCATCTGCTTGGGAGGCAATAAGAAGAATCACAGTTTTTATTTCAGCAGGGGACAGTTTGTTGGGCATGTCTAAAATTTTGATTCTGTTGTGTGTTTACACTTAAAGTTGTCAGATTCAATCAGCTGKCTGATGATAGCAGCAACTAGAAAGTGTATTTTTTTTAATGTCTTCAAATTTGAAAGAGAAAATATTCAGATTTGGAGAGCATCAAGAAAATAAACCCTAGTCAAGGTTGGTATCTTTGTTCGTTACCAAACTCGATCTATTTGCTATAGAACTGAAACCAGACTGTTAAACGTACAGTCAGAAAAAGGACAATAACAGGTAGTGAAACTTATCTGAAAGACTAAAATAGGAAACTGTAACTTGGGTTAAATGGCGGTCAGCAGTACGATGAGGGGAAAGAGGAAAATATGTTTTTCTTCTYGTTAAGTCGTAGCACCGTTTTTTTWAATCAGAAGTTTAAAAATGGAGRTTTGAGKAACATCCATAGATTTATGACCYRAAGTCTAATCCTTACTAATCATCTCGTATAAGAAATAAAAAATTGAAATATTTTAAAGATGGTCTTTGTTGTGTCCTGAATGTTTGACTGGTCTCCTCCTGAGAACATCCCAGCACTCCGATCCCAGCACTCCGGCCTCGGTGTTTGTTCAACTTCACAGACTCAAAGTGTTGCGTCAAACCCTGGAGGGATTTTCCCGTGACGTTGAGGCTGACCTCCACGAGGCGAACATCAGGGACTGCTGAGGGACTTTACCACCGTGGATCCAGCTGCTCAGCTCCAGGAGCGTGGAGATGCTGCAGAACGGAGAGCTCAGATACCATGACTCAGCAGAAATATCAATCTGATGCGGTGACAGGACTCAGCATGTGACCTCTGTGAGGAGAGGCAGGTGTGAAACAAACACTGATGCTGCTGCTCAGACACAAAGCTCTGAAGGCTAAAATAACGCAGTTTATTATTGTTTGTRTTTTTCCTGCTGGGACGTTTCAAACGCAGGCGTCCCTGTGGAGAAGCTGCAGCACTGAATATCGATTTCCTCTTAGAAAAAGGGACAGAGATTCACCTACAGAGGGTCAGGGTGAAAAAAGGTCATTGTTGACCTCAGAACGTTTGATTGTTTCAATTTAAAAAGCTGCGAGGATTTGTTTGACTTGTGGATCAAACGTTTTCAGACCTTCGGTTTTTATTTAAGCTTTAAAACGAGATGCATGGAGGTGTGGAAGCAGAGAGGACAGGAGGGTGGAGGGTTTGACCTTCGCTTTAACCAACAGCAGCCGCATTCCTGCTGGGAGGAACATCAAAAGCAGGAAAATCCTCCGGAGAGAAACCGTAACGAAGCTCCTGCTGCCTGACAACAAACTGAAGAGATGAAACTATCAGAATCTTCTACATACAACGTTTAAATTCTAAATAAAATAAAATTTATAAAAAAATAAAGCTCAAAAGAAGCCTCAGCTGGAAGAGCTCAGGTATCGGTGTCTAGCTAAGATGAGCTAAAATCTAAAAGCAGCGCAACTCTAGTTTGAAGTAGCAAAATGCTTGATAAATGCTAAAATTAGCATAAGACGACAAAGGCAGAAGGTGAAGTAGAAGTGATGTATTTCTGTAGAATTACTTTTAAAGGTGTTCTGGACACGTCCCACCGGGAGGAGGTCCCGAGGAAGACCCAGGACACGCTGGAGGGACTATGTCTCTCGGC